GGGGTGCATTGGGTTGAATTGGGAAGGGTTGGGTTGGATTGGGAAGGGTTGGGTTAGGTTGGATTGGGAAGGCTTGGTTGGGATGGGATAAGATTAATAATAATAATATATATTACGATATAATATATATATTATATTATAATCCGTACTACATTATTTCAAAAGCACCATCACTAAGCTTTTGTAACAATATATTATTATCTTAAAAATATAATATCTATTATCTTAAAAATACAGTACCATTGCTGTGGAGATATTGGAGCAGAAAGCTGGAATAGTACTTCTTGGAAGCGTGAACGCAGAGGCAATAACACTGTGCCAGATTCATGCTGTAAAACCTATTCAAAACATTGTGGGCTAAGAGACCATCCCTCAAATATCAATAAAGAGGTATGTACTGTACACTGCAGGATCATTTATTGTCACATCAGCTGTACTTGGGTTGATTATGTTAATTTAATTATTTTTGATATACAGTTGAAGCTCCGCTTGTGGACACTTTCATAAGCAGCTCTAATCATGAATATCTATCCAAAATCCCCTTTCTCCTCCCATACAAATGCTTTATGGTTGCATTATGTAATAGGATACACATTATACTATGTTATCAGGTTTAGTGATCTCATGTATTGTTGTAGTCATGCATGTAGCCAATTAAAAGTTATTATACATTATACCTCTGAGTAAATCCTCTCTCAAGCCTTAAAACAGTGTATTGAAACAATTATCATTGTGTTTTTTAGCTTTGCGTTAATTTGTGCTAGACCAGTACTATTTTCTGAATAAATCAATCATGAACCCAGAGTATTCAATGTTAATCCCTAAAAATTATTAGCCTTAGTAGAAAATGTTCTAGTAATATAAGGGGGCACTGCATTACCTCCGCTCAATTGTGGGAACTCTTTTCTTAGGTATACAGCTCTACTAACCGACACTTTTTGGTTTCCTGAAGTGTCTGCTTATGAGAGCTTCAACTGTATCTAGTTCAATTGTAAGGATTTGAACAAGAACAATTTTGTATGTAAAATGAGATGACTCTATCTTTTCTATTATTACCCCTTCCCCCACTCCC